GACGAGAAAAGGACACAAGCCGGAAACATCGTGCTGATAGCTTTATTAAGATTAATTAATTGAATTAGCAAAATATGGATTCTTCCCAAAGATGAAAATGATGGAAAAGAGGAGAAGTGCAAGGGAAGGTCTCCTTGCAGGTCAAGGAACAATTTCAGGAACTCAGGAGATGTGAATTTGGGCTTAAGCAAACCGTCTCATTCTTGAGTCGTGTCAGAAGAAGCAAAGCTTGCTGTGAACCCAGCTTGCACACCAGAGGTTGCTCGGCTGATGGACACACTCAGCATCCTTAGTCTGAGCAGGAGAGGCTCTTCGGAGGCCCAGATCAGAGGCAGTCTGTGATTTTCAACTTCATTTTGAACTGCATATTGCCGGCTCTAACTGCAAAGTGGCAGTTGGGTCTCTGGAAGAGAATGAAAGAGAAAAAGAGTTGGAAGGGACCTTGAAGGTCATCTAGTCCAATGATGGAGCCCCCACGAATTCTGGTGACTGGTTAATTGTTCTCACTTTTAGGAAAGTTGTTCTTAATTGCAGGTTGCTTCTCTCCTTGATTCGTTTCCATCCCTTGTTTCTTGTTCTGCCCTCTGGTGCTTTGGAAAATAAGTGGACCCCCTCCTCTTTGTGGCAGCCCCCAAATAATGGAAGACTGCCATCCTGTCTCTCCCAGTCCTTCTTGTCATTGGACATACCCAATTCCTGCAACCGTTCTTTGTATGTTTCTGTCTCCAGCTCCCTAATCCTCCTTGTTGCTCTTCTCTGCCCCTTTTCTAGAGCCTCAATATCTTTTTTATATCGTGGCAACCAAATTCAGTATTGCAAGGGTGCTCTTGACAAGGCATTATAAGGTACTTGTCAGTCTTCAAGATTTCTTTCCTTTGCATCTTTCAGCTCTCAAGTAAGGGGGGGGAGGAGGAGGAGGGGTGAAATATTTATGGGAAGCGAGCTGGAGGTTTGAGAGAATAAACTGTATAAGTTGGGGGGGGGTTTCTTGTTCATGCTTCTTTTACTATGCTATGCGCAATCGCACCTCTTTATCAAAATATGCCAAGGTCAATGGACAGAGGCCTCAACACCACGTGAAGAGGCCCATTTGACATTACATGCAAATTTTAATTGGATGGACAGTTTGAACTCTTGTGGGTGGGAACGTTGCCATCACTTTGTATATGTGATTTACGTGCTCATTTTCTCAGATTCAGAATTCCTCTGATGCTACCACTTGATTTCCAGTAAAAGATATCTTTTCTCTAATTAACGGAGTCGAAGTGTTTCTTTCTTGGATTTTGAATGGAGCACCAGCTGACAGGACTATTTCATGTGTTTCCATCCGTTGCTTCTTGTCCTGCCTTCAGCTGCTTTGGGAGAATAGGTTGACCCCCGTTTTCTTTGGGGCAGCCCCTCAAATAGCAAACACCGCTATCGTGCCACCCTTCCTGTTTTGAATTGAGATCGTCCATGGAAATAATTAAAAGCACCTTTGCAAAGGGGGCTACTGAGCTCCTACCTGGCAGGTTTTATCCATTAAACCACAAATAGATAATCGTAACCTGGCATCCAATCTCACCTCGTGATTCCCTGGAAGTTGCTTGCATTTCTGGATCTTCTCATATTTCTTTATCTTACCGATCTTCTTTTTACACGTTGTTTTCACCAACTCCACCAACAGATCGTATTGGAGTGGTCTAGTCATCTGGATATAAAAATGAATACATGGCCTTTTAATTAATTAGAAAACATGTTCGGCTTCATTGGTGGTGACCAGGAAAGCACTTTATGCCTTGACAACAGCAAGAACATCAGTTCAAGAGGAAAGATTTCCGTATCAGATACGAACAGCAGAAATCATGTCGTTTTGGTCCACGCTAACAGTCCTTCCCTTAGAACCCCCCCCCCAGCTCCCTCCAACTCCCCCCCCAAACCTTTCCATTAAGAGCTGGTGGCACAGTGGTTAGAGTGCAGCATTGCAGACAGTTCGATCCTGACTGGCTCAAGATTGACTCATCCTTCCTTCCTTCCTTCCTTCCTTCCTTCCTTCCTTCCTTCCTTCCTTCCTTCCTTCCTTCCTTCCTTCCTTCCTTCCTTCCTTCCTTCTTTCCTCCCTTATTACATTCTTGGCAGGACTAGACTTCCTATCTCAGGAACTTCTCTGGAGTTTTTTTTCCTCCTTTGCTGGTACTTTGCTTGTGTGGAGTGACCATTCAAAGTTACAATGGCACTGAAAAAAGTGACTTATGACCATTTTTCACACTTACGACTGTTGCAGCATCCCCACAGTCACGAGAGGCCAGGCGAGGAGATGCGTGCCTCGATGTGAGTGATATTGAGTTGGCCACACCCAGCCATTAACATGGCCACCAAGCCACGTCCACCCAGTCACATGCCACACCCACAGTCCCCAACTAAGCCACGCCCACAGAACCAGTTGTTAAAAATTTTGAATCCCACCCCGGAATACCTGTGTAGTAAGTCTTAAATTTGCAAGCCAAGGACTCCCTTTAGTGGCAATATAGAGGAAATTCAGGGAAAAAAGAAAAGAAGCTAAAAGACTGCATGCTAGATTCATTGGGACCTAGAAACCTGGCTGGGAAAAACTAAAAACAGAAAGAAACGAGAAGAAAACCAGAAACAGAAGTGAAAAACCCTAACACCCAAATGTTTTGTGGGGCTGCCACTGGTCTGGCTGCATAAATCCAGACCACCACAAGACACAAAGAAAGGAACACAAAAACCTCCCCCTTCTCTTAGGTGTGCACATATCTTTAGTCTAGAATGATCCAGTAACCCCGAGTTCGCCTTTCTATTGAAATTCAGCCAAACTTGATCGGAGCTGTAAGGAAAACCTGGTTTTGCACAGCCAAACGAGTAGGTTTTTTTTCCCCCCCCAAAGCAAAGGTCGTGCGTTTCTCTCACCTTCTCTCTCTTTTCCCCCCCAACTTAGCAAAACATCTATTTCATTTCTGACTAAAGATGAAAATGGTTCCAAGTCACATCTAAGGATGGGAAAGAAAGTTGCTTAATTCTCGTAAGGAAGGGGATTGTACGTAATTCTGCCTTTTCAAATTAACACGGCAAACTTCATTCTCATTCAAAGATTTCAATAAGTTGAACTTTAAAAAATAAATATGGACTGAACAAAATAATAGGTAAAAAAAATACAGGTATTCCTCGACTTACAACCACAATTGAGCCCCAAAATTTCCATTGCTAAGCGAGACAGTTCTTAAGTGAATTTTGTCCCATTTTACGACTTTTCCTGCTGGTTGTTAAGTGAATCATTGCAGTTGTTAAGTTAGTGACGTGAGCTCGGGACACTGCAACCGTCGTAAATATGAGTTGGTTGCCAAACAGCTAAATTTTGATGGGGCTGCTGCAATGGTTGTAAGTGTGAAAAACAGTCATAAGTCACATTTTTCCAGTGACTTTTGTAATTTTGAATGGTCATTAAATGAACTGTTGTAAGTCAAGGACTGTAATTTTGTACAATAGTTAATGCCATGAAACAATTTCAAACTTTGTAATTATGAACTTTTTAGAAAGACAAAAAAGAGGGCCTGATTAATAATAACTTAATTTCAAAATCTAATTACATTGCTTGATTTTTTTCCCCCCTTGGTTCTTTAAAAAAAAAGTCAGATATTGATAGAAAATTGGCATTAATAACCCCCTGTTAAAAATCAACTATGGATCTTTCTTTTTGGTAGTGTTTGGTAATTGTTTTAGCGAAGCCTCGTGCCTAAAAAAATCCATAATTGTTGACCTCTATCAATTCTAAATAGGGATGCAGTGGATCAGTGGCTAAAGACACTGAGCTTGTCGATCAGAAAGGTCGGCAGTTTGGTGGTTCGAATCCTCAGCGCTGCGTCACGGAGTGAGCTCCCGTTCCTGGTCCCAGCTTCTGCCAACCTAGCAGTTGGAAAGCATGTAAAAAATGCAAGTAGAAAAATAGGGACCCCTTTGGTGGGAAGGGAACAGCGTTCCTCCGTGCACCTTCGGCGCTTAGTCCTGCCGGCCACATGACCACGGAGACGTCTTTGGACAGCGCTGGCTCTTTGGCTTTGTCATGAAGATGAGCAGCGCCCCCTAGAGCCAGAAAACGACTAGCACGTATGCCCGAGGGGAACCTTTACCTTTTACCTGTAGTATCTGTGGATGTAGGAGCTTTGCGGTGCAGTCGTATGCTCCGAAAACATGCGGGGCAGCCAGGATGGAAGGGAGCCCTGCGATACCTGAAGGCTTTGAGCTGCCTCAAAAGAACAGCTGGTGTTTCTCTGCTGCTAATTAGAGCGGAGAAACCGCAATCCGAGCATCATCTCCCAGCAATGAAGGGGGTGAGATTTCGGCTCTCGGTCACCGGCTGCCTAATTTCTTTAAAAAAACGGTTGTTCTTCCACCACTTCCCTGGATTTTCCGAGACTCTTTGTTTTTCTCTGTCCTGCTAGAAGAATTCTTCCCTCCGGCAGAACAGAACAGAACAGAATGGAATAACAGAGTCGGAAGGGACCTTGGAGGTCATCTAGTCCAACCCCCACCCAAGCAGGAGACCCTACACTATTTATTAACAGATTAACATAGTTGGAAGGGACCTTGGAGGTCATCTAGTCCAACCCTCTGCCCAAGCAGGAGACCCTACACCATTTATTAACATTAACAGAGTTGGAAGGGACCTTGGAGGTCATCTAGTCCAACCCCCCACGCAAGCAGGAGACCCTACACCATTTCTGACAGATGTCAGTCCAGTCTGTTCTTAAAATCCTCCAGGGATGAAGCTCCCACAACTTCAGAAGGCAACTTCTGTTCCATGGGTTGATTGTTCTCCCTGTCAGAAAATTCCTCTTTGTTTCTAGGTTGAATCTCTCCTTGATCAGTTTCTATCCAGAAGAATAGAATAGAAGAGAAGAGAAGAGAAGAGAAGAGAAGAGAAGAGAAGAGAAGAGAAGAGAAAATAGAAAATAGAATATAGAATACAGAATACAGAATACAGAATACAGAATACAGAATAGAATAGAATAGAATAGAATAGAATGAATTGGAAGGGACCTTGGAGATCTTCTAGTCCAACCCCTTGCTCAAACAGGAGACTCTATACGATTTCAGACAAATGACTGCACAATCTCTTCTTGAAAGCCACCAATGATGGAGCCCCCACAACTTCTAGTGGCAAGCAGTTCCACTGGTTATCCTCACTGTCAAGAAATTTCTCCTTAATTCCAAGCTGCTTCTCTCCTTGATCAGTTTCCATCCGTTAGTTTCTTGTCCTGTCCTCTGGTGCTTTGGAGAATAGCTTGACTCCCTCTTCTTTGGGGCAGCCCCTGAGATATTGGAATGGGCAACATTTCCACCATGAAAAATGAAAAGGCGTGCTTGGTTCTTTATATGTTTTAGCCTCCTGTCCCCTAATCTTTGGTCACCACACTATATAAAAGAGGTTGAGACTCTAGAAAAAGTGCAGAGAAGGCAGCCAGGATGATTAGGGGACTGGAGATTAAAACATATGAAGAACGGTTGCAGGCACTGGGCCTGGCTAGTCTAGGGAAAGAAGGACCAGAGGAGACAGGATAGCAGCGTTCCAATATTTGAGGGCGGGGAGTTGGACTAGATGACCTACAAGGTCCCTTCCGACTCTGTTAATTTGACTTTAATCTGATGTTAATGAAGAAAAGGACCAGGGGAGACAGGAGAGCAGTGTTCCAATATTTGAGGGGCTGCCACAGAGAAGAGGAAGGGGTCAATTTATTTTCCAAAGCATCAGAAGGCAAGACATCTCCAAGGTCACATGATCAAAATTCAGATCCTGGACAAGTGATTCCTATTTATGACGGTCGCAGTGTTCCGGAGTCACCTGATCCGCTTTTGCGACCTCCTGACAAGCAAAATCAATGGTCGAGCAAGATCCCCCTAACAACCGTGTGCCTAACTTAACAATTGCCGTGATTCACTTAACAACGGTGGCAGGGAAGGTCATAAAACGGAGAAGAACTCACCTAACCGGTGTCTCACTTAGCCATAGAAACTTGGGGCTCAATTGTCATAAATCAAGGACTCGGTGCATTGGCTCCCCCAGAAGAGTGAGGCTTGTACCCAATGGCACAACCGCTTCCCCAAGTGTTTGCAAGGATCATGGTTGGAGCCCTCCTTCTGCAGTTCTGTATAATTCATATCTCGGTCTGTAGAGATTTTCAGTCCTCCAGGTCCTGGTGGTCCCAAAAGTGCTTTTTTCAAGAGGCAACGGGACTTTCTTGTTTTTTCTTTTGAAGACATTTCCCTTCTCCTTTGAGAAGCTTCTTCAGCTCTGACTGGATGGTGGAGAATTGGAAGGATTTATCCTCCTTGCAGGCAAAGCTGGTCATTTGCATCCTTTTAGAGACCTATTGAGGCCACTTGGAGGTTTATCGGTGTCTTCAGGGTCACCTGAATGATACAAATGGTTCCTGTAGTCTGTAATTTTTCTTCTGGAAATCCATTCCTGCTCCCACACCACTCCAAGGGTGTTCATCCCAAATTGTATTGCTAAAAGTCTGTAAAGGTTGTAAAGGTTCTCGGTCATCCAAGTCAGGGTTGTCCCAAAGATGTTTTTTCAGGAGGCCACTGGACTTCCTGGTTTTTCCTTGAAGACGTTTCACTTTCTCATCCAAGAAGCTTCTTCAGCTCTGACTGGATGGTGGAGACTTGGAAGGATTTATCCTCCTTGCACACAAGCTGGTCATTTGCATCCTTTTAAAGAGTCGTTGAGGCCACTTGGAGGTTTGTCTGTGTCCTCGGGATCACCTGCGTCTAATCTGGGTCCTTTCTAGGCCAGTGGTGGGATTCAACATTTTTTACTACCAGTTCTGTGGGCGTGGCTTGGTGGGCGTGGCCTGGTGGGCGTGGCAAGGGAAGGATACTGCAAAATCTCCATTCCCTCCCCACCCCACTGACCTGCTTTCCAGCTCCGTTCTC